AGGTCCTAACCCTAACTCTATCCCTCATCACAGCATCTTCCTAAACCTAACCCTACACCTAATCCTACATGTACACTTACCCCTTGCCCTCACCCTCATCTTCACCCACACCTAACCATAACCTTTAGCCTTAAACTAGCACAACCTTTATCTTAAATCCTATCATTAACTCTACCCATCAACATATCCTCACTGTAAACTTAACCCTGAAACTAAATGTAACCTTAACCTTTCTGTCTCCTTTGCAAACTGCCAAGAGCAGGGGCTGGAAGAAGAGATGGCATGGTGTGGACTCAGGATTCTGGTGGTCAAGTGTGCCCTCCTGATGGGGACCATTGAAGCCGATCTTACTCTTCAGTATTCAAAGCAAAGGTTCAGTCCTTACAGCAACCCTCGGGATAGGCACATTGGTCCCCATTTTATGATGTGGATACTGAGGTATTACAGGGGCAGTGGACAGTGACCTGCCCAATACCACACATCCATGTGTTACATCATTCATGCAGTCAGCATTCCAGGTACACCCAGGACCAGCTGCTTCAGGATCCACTCCCTCACCAGGGCTCAGAGTGTGCTCTGAGAAAACCTTTGTGATACTGGAAGGTGCTTGCTGCGGGTAATGGCTCCCAGTGGACTGGAGGGGTACTCAGAAATGGCATTTTATACGGATTTGGGCAGAAAGTCCCCAGAAGTGCAGCAACTGAGCTCAGTCTTAAAATAGGAGCAGTACTTTGTCAGGGGGAATCTACCTCTCCAGATTTTGTAAAATCATCCTTGTAATATAATGCCTAATAACACATGTAAGTGTGACCCACAATAAACTAACTATAATATACATACATTTCATCTTTCCTTTGATCATTAAGCTTAAATTTTTACAATTATTACTTTTTCACAAATAATTTGAGTTAATTATTAAAATTTTTGAAAATTACAGACATAAGGAAAATATTGTGTTTTGCAAGATTCTATTTTTCTGCATAAGGAACCATGTATGCATCAACCAAACAAGATGTCAGGAATATTCTCCCATGTCAATAAACATGGACCTTCAGCATAATTTTTAATGTTTGCAGAGTGTTAAATATTGTGGTTACACCACAATTCATTCAGCTAATAATCTGTTGATCAACATTAGGGCCATTTACTGACCAATTCTTAAGCTATGCCAGGCTGAGCTGGAGAATGTGGCTGAGACAAGGCAACTGGGTAAAAGTCAGGTGATAATTATTCAGTGACTCACCCTTGCCTTTCTCATAAGTTATTTGTCTTAGATTTAGCTGCAATTTCAAAAGCTACTCTAGGTGCTTTGCAAGAAAAACAAATAAGCAGAAGTACCCTTTGGAGCCTTAGAAGTAGACATGGGTTGTATGCAGTGAAATCTGAGCCTTGCTGAGGTGGCCACTGAGGGCAGATGGACAGAGGAGAACACTAGACTTTTCACTTTTCTGAGGATGAGTTCATTGTGGGGGTAGATTCTGAAATGCAATACAACCTTGAGAAAAACCATAGAACATTTTCATGTCACCGAATCTTGCTTCGAAAAGGAAATATATATCCACACAAGTGTGGTGCGCTTCTACCTTAATGAAACTACAAGGTTCTCTGTGTTCTAACAGAGACATGTGTACTTAAAGAGCCCCCAGGGTGTGACTTTGAAATCAACTTATCTTGCCAGCTTTTTCCTTCTTTCCCTCTTTTCTCCACCCTCTCGGCGTTTGTTGAGGGCTGCCTTTGGTTTGGGAGCTTTACAGGCACCAAGGATCCCTAAGGGAGACAAGCAGGCCTTCCCTGGGAGGGCTGCAGTCACAGTTCCTGGGGCAGTTGACAAATCCACAAGTGCCCATGTAAGGACAATATGTGTAGGTCCGAGGAGAGTAGGCATAACTGTCTAAGGAGGTCAGAGAAGTTCACAGAGCAGCTGACATTTGAGTTGAACCTTGGAGACTTGACAGCCCTCCAAAGAAATCTTTTTACAGCTCATCCCCCTTCTCTCCTCTCTAGATACTTCAGAGACCCCTGTACACTCTCCAAGAAGGGACAGGGCTCCAGGATGATAGAGCCAGCTCTAGCATAGTTCATTTGTGAATTCTGCATGTTGTGAGCTGGCTCACATGCAACCATGCCCTGGCTTCAGAAGAAACTGAGGCAGGAAAAGTCCCATCTAACAGGTCTGCTGTGCCTATTCTTTGGGTCAGGAATCCAGAAACATCCCAGGAACTAATGTTAAGCAGTCCTTGTCCTTTTCCGTTTGGATTGTCGTTAAGTCATCGATTTTTAGGTGAGGCTACTGGCTGGACTAAATGCCAGTAAGAGTTATGGAAGTGGTCAAGACTGCTCCACAAATTTAGGGCGCTAATGTGGGCACATGTTTCTTACCTTTCCAATCACATGGCAAGTTACCTCCATCTACTTTGCAGAAATCAGCATCCCCTTGAGGTTGTTCCTCTCACCTATCCCAGAAGATGAGAGGTGGTCCAGCGTGTGTGACAGAGAGCACTGGGACCCTTGGTGTCCGCCGATGACGGGCGCTGCCACACGGCGGCGCCGGTGAGTGGGCTCTAGCCTTCCACAAAGGGGCCTCTGTCCTGCACAGCCGCTCAGGTTCTGAGGGAGGATGAACCCGTTCCCTCAGCAGTAACCTCGGCCAGGGGTGACCCCCACTGGAGCTCACAAGCTTGCAGCTCAGCTGAGCTCCGCAGCCAGTTTTCTTTCACAGCCGCCGTCCAGGTGCCAGCTGGTCCCTGGGGCCCCAGGGCAGCACAGCCTCCGAAGAATCCCACGGAGACTTCTTTTTCAACTCAGAACACAAATCAGCTGTTATCGCCTTCCCTCCCCTCTCCGGGCATCCATCTAGGCTTCTGAGAAAGGTCCCCTCAGTGACTCCCTAGGGGACCCCAGGATGACCTATCTCTTCCCTCCCCTCTCCTCCACCTCAGGTTAGCAGCCCATGGAGGCTGAGCTGCTTTTCTGTCAGTCTTCAGGCCAAGAGCTTGGCACTTCTCTCACTAAAGAAAGGCAGATTACTACAGATGTAATCTTTCAATCTACCGCCAGCACCCTGCTTGTAAATTACTCTGCCTCAGAGTTAAAGTGTGTCTAACATGCATTAAGATCTGGAATAGTCCGTGGCCCTGACCTTCAGAGCAGGCCCGTGGGAGCACGTTTGAAAGCAACGCAGCAGTCTGACCCCTCTGACTTAAGGAAATGACTTTAGATTCCAAGAGCTTGTTCATGCATGGCAAGTCATCTTTAAGGCTTCCAAGAGCAAAGGTAACCTCTATGGTGATGCAGTCAGGAGCCTAGTGTTTCTGTTGCAGAGACGGAAGTCATGGAATGCTGCATGTCATGCCAGTGCATGAGTCCCCCCTTACTGAGTAGGAGCCAGACACTGAGGGGAGCAGGCTCCCACAATCTGGGATAACAATAGCTGCCGTCTTTGAACACGGGCTATACGCGAGCATTGTGCAGAAGGACTTTGTATATGTTATTTCTAATCCTCATGACCAGTCTAATACTCCATTTTACAGATGAGGAAAGTGTTCAGAGAAGTTAAGTAACCAGTCCAGTGTCACACAGCTAATTATTAGTAGGGTTGGGATTCAAACACACATCCTAGGACTCTACAACTCATTCTTTGTCTATAGTGCTATATTGCCTCTCAAGGATGATGTCTACCTTGGAAGAGGATTAAAAGGAGAAGGTAGTTGGGAATTGATCTTGCCGTATTTCAGGGTTCTTTGTGAGATTTCAAGTTTAGACAAATGATAGCTTTGCCTCTAAGTCAGCCGTGGAAACCATTCTGACCTACATACAGTGTCTGGCAGAAAGAATGGGTGGGAGCAAATGATACAGAATAAATGCTACTACTTCTTTTCCTTGGTCTTGGGTGGGTCTCTTGTTAACTGGGCATCCTCTTTGCCTTTGCCCTCACTACCCTTTACCTTCACCCTCACCCTGCTCCCCTTGGGCAACTCTGTCTCCTCTGCAGAAGGAAGCTTTCCTTCCCTGATGGCTCCTCCAATACACAGTGGAGTTAGCCACTCCTTCGCGGGTGTCCCCCGTGTCCCCGCCCAGCACCAGGTGGCCCTGTCCAGCCCCAGTGTCCCTGTCCAGTGCCAGGTGCAGCATTATTCCAGGCACGCTCATGGTTTGTTTAGCCCTAGGGCTGCACTGGGTTGGGGGAGGAATGTTCTCTTTCTGACTCAACACAAAAGCAGGTGCCAAGAACTCTCAGAGCCCCAGCCAGTCAAGAACAAGGAGATCTGAAAGGAGTCTGTAGAACCCGCAAACCAAAGAGAGCCATGGTCAGGGGGTGAAGCTGGGCCAAGAGCCAGGAACCTGGAGAGAGGGAGTGGCGGGAGAAGCCTGAGCAAGAGGCCCAGTGGCCCAGCCCACGGAGCATGGCACCCACGCATGCCTGCTTGGTCCTCAGTGAGCAGGTGGTGAACGGGGGAGGAACCGAGGAAGTACGATGAACAGGTCTGATTAGGCCAAACCTGAGGCTGTATTTGTCACAGGCAGTTACCACAATCTGGTTGAAGTCAGAACACTCCCAAGAACTCATCATTGTCCTGGAACTTCCCGTTTGTGTCCCAACTGATTTCCCCACCAGTCTGACCAAACACCTGGCCCACTGGAACTGGTAAACCCCACGGACCATTCCGGGCACCCTCACTCTGGGCAGCGCTTCCCCCTCCAGGTGCCTGCCTGCAGAGCTGGAAACAGCTGAGCTGCATGGTGGCAGGCAGCACTCGACAGCCTCACTGGGGGCCAGCCCCTGCTCCTGGCCATGACTCTAACGGTGCCCAACACCCCCTTGTGTTTCTAACTGGCTGTTGGGAATTTCCTTGGCTATGCCTCCTGGTCTTCCCTTCTTCTGAATTTAATGAGCTCATTTGTTTTTCTTTTCCACGTAGCTGGTTTTAGGGCTGGTTAATGAGTGGTGGGGTTCTCTCTAAGCGCCAATCTGAGCCGAGTTCAGGGCACTTCTTCAGCCAATTCCAGCTCTCAGGTCCCTGGTGCCTCCTGCTGTCTCTCCCTCACTCTGGCAACTGCCCTCACCTATACAGTTACCATCTGTGGAAGTTTCTGGAACACAATGACACATAGGCCTCAGGATTTGGTTTTGCTTTTTCTTCCCAGATCTTCCTGGAAACAGTTATTTTGAGACAAGCTTGTGTTTTTTTAAAGAGAAGCTGTGAAAGCAACAGGAAAAAGGATCCATTTTTAAATACAGAGTTTCCCTCCATGTTTTGTCTGCAGCTTGTGTAGACTTTGGGGTGGGGAGTGCTGGTTGTGAATTCCATGGAGACTTGCCAGAGGCTGTTTAAACCTGCTTTGTCTGAAGCTGTTGTAAAGAGCTGCCAGGAGGAAGCGTTAATGGAAGGGAACTTGGGTGCCCTGCTGTGACAGTTGGTGCTTGGGAAGCTTCCAGCACAGAGCGAATGAGAAAGAACTCAGGGCTGCACAGCCAGAACAGGAATCTGCAGGACCGAGGTGACTGACTCAGTTCCTAGAAGCTTTTCAAGGTAATGACTTCACAGGTGCTCTGTTGAATCATGTACACAGAAAGTTTAGCCCAAAGAGTCTCCTTGGACATGTTCCCGCACATTCATCCATCCGTGCATGCATCCATCCAATGAACAAAGACTGAGCACACACTGGGCTTGGCCCTGGGGCAGCAGGAGGAATGGATGGACACAGCTCTAATTAATGCCCGCTGGTCATCTCCACACATTTCGGAGGGAGAGGGTTCCAGCGTGGTGGGGGCCCATAGAGCGGGGAGGCACCAGACGATGAGTCGCAGAAACCTCAGCATGCCACCAGCGTGCTTTTACCTCTTTGTTTCCTGCTGAAGCCCTGACAATGGGGCACAGCACTCCCCCTCCTGAGCCCCACTCCCTATGGGAAGTGAGCGCTTTCAGCCTGCAGTTTCCAAGGGTCCAGGCCGTGGGCAGCAGTGGGGGGCCTGAGTGCCTCCATCCCAAATGAGAGCCAGGGCTCTTGAGGCCAGTGTCACTGCGGCTAAAAACACATTTTGAAGCTTGCTGTTATATGACTCCCTTCCCCCCATCAGCGAAGATCAGACAGAGGGCCTCAGGTGGGAGGGCGCCTGCTTTCCACTCTGTTTGGCTGCCTGGAGGCGTTAGTTTGCTAGGGCCGCCTTAATGGAGGACACAGGCTGTGGGTCCCAGAGTCCTGGAGGCTAGAGCTCCAGGATGGAGATGTAGGCAGGATTGGTGCCTTCCAGGGGTTGCGAGGGAGAATCTTTTCTGGGCCTCTCTCCTGCTTCTGGTGGTGTGCTGGTGATCTCTGGACGTCCTTGGCTTTTAGAAGCACCACTCCAACCCCTGCCTTCCCTTCACATGGCATTCTCTCTGCACGTGTGTGTATGTCTCTGTGTCTAAGTTTTCCCACATACTGGATGAGGGCCCACTCTAGTGACTTAATTAATTACATCTGCAATGATCCTATTTCCAAATGAGGTCCCATTCTGAGGTACTGAGGGTTAGACTTCAACATATGGATTTTAGGGGACACAGCTTAACCCGTAAGACCACATTTCTGACTTGGTCCTCCTCCTGGGGCCGTCAGTGGTGCCTGTGAGGGGGAGGCTGGAGTAATTCTACTTCAGGGATGCACTGAGAGCATCATGGCCCAGGGAGGCTAAGGGCAGCTGCAGAAAGAGGGGCGGCCATTAGCAGACACACAGATTTGGTTCTTTGAGCCTTTGGGGCAGAGCTCGCAGGAACCCTAACACCAGGGAAGCCCCCGGCAGGCCGCCAGCCTGGGGCAGCGTGCCCAGAGGAGAGCAGGGGTAGGCTGCTCTGGGGTCTGTGTGAGGTGAGCCCTGGGGCGTGAGGGAAGGGGCAATTGGCAGTCAGGGCCCAGAGTTTGGGGGTCTTTCGGGTATGCTGGCAGGCAGGGCCCGGTGCTTGGAAAACTTCCTGTGTGCCTGCTCTCCAGAACCCCTGAGGCTGGTGATGACTTGCTGATCCTTGGTGCAGCCTTCAGGGCTCACTGAGGTGCTTAACCACATCCTCTTTGCAACACACATGAATTTAGTCAAAGAGTGTAACTCGAGTGGGGCCTTGTGATAGTGCACTTGTAGACTGACAGATAATTCTGAAAAAGAAAATAGGGACAGCTGCCTTACCAAATATTAAGCTGTGTTTTGGCACATGAATAAATAGTGCAATGGCGTAGGCTAGACTTCAGAAATGGACGCAGTATGTTTACATACTTAAAATTTGATCAAGATGACACTTTGGTTCAGTGGGAAAATTATGATTGATTCAAGAAATGGTGTTGATCTGATTGGATCTCCATCTGGGGGAAAAAGCAAGCTAGACACCATCTCATATCATATCTAACAATAAATCCCAGACGGGTTTGGGTTAAAGACCTAACACTAAGTACACAAACACATACATAAAATATTTGAAGAAAATTTAGTGGAAAATTCATTTTCCAAATTTCCAAATACAACTTTTGGAGTAGGAGGGATATTTTTAATAATGACAGAAATCCCACAAACTGTGAAGGGAAAAAGAAAAGGACACATGTTCCTTCATATTTTTTCAAATTTTAAGAAAAAAATACCCACCATAAGGAAAGTCAAAGGACAATTTATAGACTCAGGTAAACATTTGTGACATGTATGAAAGGATGTTATCCTTAATTTACCCAAAGCTCATATAAATTGGTAATAAATGGCAAAAGGAATATAGGAAAAAATATGAACAGGCAATTCATAAGAAGAGGAAATGGAGGTTTAAGCAGAGCTGAGAAGGGTTAGTCAAAGAAAGTCAAATTTAATTATTTATTCATCAGACTGGCCAAATTTAAAAGACCAGTAACATTATGTGCTCAAGAGAACATAGAGAGACAAGCACTTTGATACCTCGGGAGTGCGAGCTGCTGAAACCTCCAGGGAAAAATAATCTGGCAATGCTTATTAAAGCTCAAAATGCATACCATTGACTCAGCAACTCCATTTTAGGCAGTTGTTCCAGTAGATGTAAAAGCACTGACACCTAAGAATCTACGAACAAGAGTGTTTCAGAGCCAGTCTTTGCTGGGGCAAATACTGGGTGATGCACAATTATCTATCCACAATAAAATGACTGACTAACCACGGTGCCTTCATGCCCTGGGATACTATGTAGCTATAAGAAAGAGTTAGATTTATCAACATACTCATGTGGAGAGATGCTAATGTATTAGTGCAGAAGCAAGCTGTGGAAAAATGTGTGTAGCATGATATACAACCTTTTTGTAAAAAAGTTGAGTAAGCAAGTAAAACCCAACCCTATGCCTGTCCTGTGTGGCCATGTATTTATTCCAGCTTGGAGGAGCATGGCTTGACAACATGTTACCTCAGGGCTTCAGAACAAGAGTGAGTGACTTTTAACTTCTTGTTTCTGTATCTTTGGCCTTTACACTTATTACAGAAATCACATTTTTTGCTTTTTAAATTAAAAGCAGTTGGATAAAGGCAATTTTCAAGGAAAAAAAGGACAAAGTGCCTAAGACATTTCTCTACTTCACTGGGCCCTCAGGATACAGTCTGCTATCTTTAATGGACTTTCAGTTACTTAGCCCCCAGGATCCGGTGTCTGCATTCAGCACAAGCCTCTTTTCCCTTTGTTCTGGGCAAGACCAGGAGCCTTCTAGACAGCACTCTGCCCCTGCCACATATCTTGACCTCACCACCCATGGGAATCTTGGAGGCTGAATAAAGTACCCACCTACCTATTCCTATAGCTCCTTGTAAATCCCTGTCATGACCTGTTTACTTACTTTTACCCCTACTGGATGGTAATTACCAACAGGGCAGGGGTAACGTTTGTGTCTTGACTTCTCTAGTGCCTTGTCCAGCTCATTGTAGGAGCTAAGTGCAATAAATGTTTGTTGAATGAATAAAGGAAAGAAGAATGAAAAGAATGAATGAATGCCAAACATTAGACATACAAAGAAGAAAATACCCTCTATGCCTCAAAATTGTGTGGTAGAGAGACGGGTATATAACAGATATATAACAAAACATTGAGCTACGCACAATTACCCACCAGCAATGAAATGGTTGAATAACCAGGGTGCCTTCACGCCCTGGGATATTACATAGCTGTAACAAATGGCCAGAGGTGAGTGGGGCCTTGTGATAGTGCACTTGTAGACTGACAGATAATTCTGAAAAAGAAAATAGGGACAGCTGCCTTACCAAATATTAAGCTGTGTTTTGGCACATGAATAAATAGTGCAATGGCGTAGGCTAGACTTCAGAAATGGACGCAGTATGTTTACATACTTAAAATTTGATCAAGATGACACTTTGGTTCAGTGGGAAAATTATGATTGATTCAAGAAATGGTGTTGATCTGATTGGATCTCCATCTGGGGGAAAAAGCAAGCTAGACACCATCTCATATCATATCTAACAATAAATCCCAGACGGGTTTGGGTTAAAGATCTAACACTAAGTACACAAACACATACATAAAATATTTGAAGAAAATTTAGTGGAAAATTCATTTTCCAAATTTCCAAATACAACTTTTGGAGTAGGAGGGATATTTTTAATAATGACAGAAATCCCACAAACTGTGAAGGGAAAAAGAAAAGGACACATGTTCCTTCATATTTTTTCAAATTTTAAGAAAAAAATACCCACCATAAGGAAAGTCAAAGGACAATTTATAGACTCAGGTAAACATTTGTGACATGTATGAAAGGATGTTATCCTTAATTTACCCAAAGCTCATATAAATTGGTAATAAATGGCAAAAGGAATATAGGAAAAAATATGAACAGGCAATTCATAAGAAGAGGAAATGGAGGTTTAAGCAGAGCTGAGAAGGGTTAGTCAAAGAAAGTCAAATTTAATTATTTATTCATCAGACTGGCCAAATTTAAAAGACCAGTAACATTATGTGCTCAAGAGAACATAGAGAGACAAGCACTTTGATACCTCGGGAGTGCGAGCTGCTGAAACCTCCAGGGAAAAATAATCTGGCAATGCTTATTAAAGCTCAAAATGCATACCATTGACTCAGCAACTCCATTTTAGGCAGTTGTTCCAGTAGATGTAAAAGCACTGACACCTAAGAATCTACAAACAAGAGTGTTTCAGAGCCAGTCTTTGCTGGGGCAAATACTGGGTGATGCACAATTATCTATCCACAATAAAATGACTGACTAACCACGGTGCCTTCATGCCCTGGGATACTATGTAGCTATAAGAAAGAGTTAGATTTATCAACATATTCATGTGGAGAGATGCTAATGTATTAGTGCAGAAGCAAGCTGTGGAAAAATGTGTGTAGCATGATATACAACCTTTTTGTAAAAAAGTTGAGTAAGCAAGTAAAACCCAACCCTATGCCTGTCCTGTGTGGCCATGTATTTATTCCAGCTTGGAGGAGCATGGCTTGACAACATGTTACCTCAGGGCTTCAGAACAAGAGTGAGTGACTTTTAACTTCTTGTTTCTGTATCTTTGGCCTTTACACTTATTACAGAAATCACATTTTTTGCTTTTTAAATTAAAAGCAGTTGGATAAAGGCAATTTTCAAGGAAAAAAAGGACAAAGTGCCTAAGACATTTCTCTACCTCACTGGGCCCTCAGGATACAGTCTGCTATCTTTAATGGACTTTCAGTTACTTAGCCCCTGGGATCCGGTGTCTGCATTCAGCACAAGCCTCTTTTCCCTTTGTTCTGGGCAAGACCAGGAGCCTTCTAGACAGCACTCTGCCCCTGCCACATATCTTGACCTCACCACCCATGGGAATCTTGGAGGCTGAATAAAGTACCCACCTACCTATTCCTATAGCTCCTTGTAAATCCCTGTCATGACCTGTTTACTTACTTTTACCCCTACTGGATGGTAATTACCAACAGGGCAGGGGTAACGTTTGTGTCTTGACTTCTCTAGTGCCTTGTCCAGCTCATTGTAGGAGCTAAGTGCAATAAATGTTTGTTGAATGAATAAAGGAAAGAAGAATGAAAAGAATGAATGAATGCCAAACATTAGACATACAAAGAAGAAAATACCCTCTATGCCCTCAAAATTGTGTGGTAGAGAGACGGGTATATAACAGATATATAACAAAACATTGAGCTACGCACAATTACCCACCAGCAATGAAATGGTTGAATAACCAGGGTGCCTTCACGCCCTGGGATATTACATAGCTGTAACAAATGGCCAGAGGTATCAACATACTCACATGGAGAGAGGCTAGTTATTAAGTGCAGAAGCAAGTTGTGGGAAAAGTTAGTTATAATACAAAAAGATAATTATCATTATAGTACAGAGGGAAAGTGAGCTACCCAAAACTGCCTGGGGAAAGTCTGCAAGGTTTACAGTGAGGAAACACTTAACCAACGATATGAAGGATGAACAGTCATTTATCAGGAAATAAGAGGATGCAGTGATGCTTCTGGCACAAGGACCAACCCCTGCAAGGGCACAAAGGCATGAAAGAGCACGACATATTCTGAAATACTCAAGAGATTTAGTATTGCTTGAGCATAAAGGTCAAGGGTGGGTACAGAAATATATGAAAGATGATACATGGAGGTAGTTATGTGAGAACCAAATCATTCATGAAGGTCCCTGCAGGCCATGCCCTTGAGTTAAGAGCTTAGAGGGGGAACTACCGAGGAAAGTTTTAAGCAGGCATGTAACATGAGGCATTTTAGATTCCACTGGCAGAATGTGAAGGATGGGTGAGGGTGGGGGCAAGAGATGATAGCAGATGAAGGGAGATTGGCCATGTGTGCAGAACAGCCAGAGGTCACTGCAGTCTCCTGCTGGGAGAGGTGGCTCAGAGGAGGAAGACCCGTGAAGTACACGGGAGGCCACAGTGACAGGACTCGGTGCTTGATGGACTGGTGTGGGGATGGGGAAAGAGCCAAAAGTAGCCTCTCCAATTTCTGCTTTGGCACCTTGTGTCATTTATTACAACAAGAAATACCAGAAGAGAAGCAAGCCTGAGAAAGGTAGAAAAGAACAAACTCGGTTGGGCCATGTTGAGTGTATTCGTTCCCCAGGGCTGCTACTCTCCATGAACTACACGGCTTAAAACAACAGACACTGATTCTCCCATGATTCTGGAGGTTGAAGGTCTGTAATCAAGGTGTCAGCCGCTGCTGTATCAGCAGAGGGTTTCTGCTCCCTCTGAAACCTGCAGGGAAGAATCCATTCTTCCAGCATCTCCCCAGCTTCCTGTGGTGGCCGTCAATCCTTGGTATCTTTGGTTTACAGCTGCGTCCCTCAAGTCTCTGCCACAATTATCACATGAGCTCTCTGTATGTCTCTGTCTTCATATGGCACTTTCCTCTTTTTATAAGGACACCAGTCATATTGGATCAGGGCCCACCCTGATGATGTCATATTATTTATATCTACAAAGACCCTTTTTCCAGATTAGGTCACACTCACAGGTACTGGGGGTTAGGACTTCAACACATCTTTTTGAGGGGTGCCATTCAACCCATAACACTGAGTTTAAAGGCCATGGAACCTTGGATGGAGATGTCCAGGAGGCCTCTGGATAGATGGGAGTAAGGACTCAGGGGAGAGGTATTTATTTAGAATCTGCTAGCAAAGGGGCAACAGCATGAGGCCATCACGGGAAGTAGATCATTGTTAAGGAGATGCAGGGGGTAGAGGTTCCCACACAGGAGGTGACTGAGAAAGAAGGGCCAGAGTGTGGCATGTCCATGAGGGACTCTGTGGGCATAGCTGAGACTGAACCAGCCGGCATCCATCTTTTGCCAAGAGCTCGCTGGGTGTCTGACCCTTTCCCTTCTGACTCCCCCATGTTCTACATGGCATTTCTCCTGCAGGAAGCACTGGAGTCCTGCAGCCATCTCCTGAAGGTCAGCAGGGACATTACAAAATGTTGTTGGGGCAGCCACCTCCCTACACTCAGCACTACAGTGCAGCATTGATAAAGCAAACAAGGCAGGCTTTTTGTGCTTTGCCTTTCTTCACAAGCGAGCTGGCAGTTTTATAGTACCACTAAGGAACTGTGATTTACTGCATCACCAAAATATTCCCACATGGCCACAAAAGTGCTGGCCAGAGCATATCCAGTCTTTCCCCTCCAATCCCATATACTCACCCCTAAGAGAGGCTGCAAAGCCAGCTTTTGAGTATCAGAGAAAGTTGCAGTTTCTCGAAGATGAGACTGAAGCTCAGAGCAGACCAGAATGACTCAGTCAAGAGCCTCTGAGAGGTGTGACTGTCAAAAGGGGTAGAAAAACAGAACATGCTCCACATAAGGGCAGGGTCCTTGGCTGGTCTGTTCACTGCTGTAACCTCAACATCTGGGGGAGCTCATCGTAGACACTCAACAAATATCTCTAGGCTCTGGGTAGTCTCAAATGTGAGGCATTTGTCCACATTGGGATCAATAAAGGGCTAACAGAGACGCCCAGCTAACATGGGACTTCCGCCCTAGTGCTGGGTGTGCAGGAGGGAGATGCAGTCAGCTTTTCTTTTCCCCTGGTGGGAGGCCAGTGACTAGTGGCCAGTCCTACTGCAGACTGGCAGTCCTGGGCTATCCCTGCTTACTCCATCAAGACCTATCTTTGGCTCCAGAAACTGCGTGACAAACAATAGCCAGAGTGAATATTGCATTATGACTTAAAAACAATGGCTTATGTTTAACAAAGGCTGGCTATGGATCAGGCTCTGTGCAAAAGTGCTTTATATGCATTATTTCAAGTAACACTTGCAACACCGCTATGAGGAAAGTGCTATTTATATTACCATTTCAAAACAGAAATATAACATTTAAATTGATGAAGTCCCATTCCCCAAGGTCTCACAGCTAGAATGTGGTAATGGGGTGTTTGAACTCAGACTTTTGGGAGCTGGGGCCCACTCACTGAAGCCCTTCACTGCACTTGTGAGCTTTGTCAGTCTGTTAGTGAAATTTCCTGCCCACTCATTGCATGTTTAGCTTATGACTTATTGCCTAAAAGGTAGGTGAAGAGTGATGTGGATGGTTAGGAAGCCCTCAGGGCAGCTGCTGTCGGGTTCCTAGAAGTGATAGGATTTTGGCTTTGGGGAGAAAAATAGCAGTGAGTTTAGTGGGAAATGCAGAGGAGCCTGGGTTCTCAGGGTCACTGCTGCCAGGTGAGCTCTGCATGTCTGTTGGCTGAGTTTGGCTGTCACCACATGCAGGCTTACAAATGTCATGGGCTTGCAGACTGGGCTTCTTAGTCAGCAAATATGCGTCAGAACCAGTGACTCACAGCCTTTGGGGATGGCAGGGCCCTCAAAATAATTCAATTTGACTCTGATTTCACAGGTGAGAAGCCTGAGGCCCCAAGGGCAGAGCAAGGACTAAGGCAGATTAAAGACAGCTTCAGGTTCTTGGACACATCTCCCATTAAGAGTGAAAGCTGCCAAAGTGACACTGTGCCAGTTTCTTGATTCGGACCTTAAGAGACTGGCCCCTTCCACTTCCTGCTTTGTGAACATGGATCCTTGGAACCAGATACCATGCTGTGAGGAAGCCCAAGTAGCCCCACAGAGACACATGGAGAGGAATGGGGATCGCTGGTCAATAGCTCCTGCAGACAGTCAGCATTTTGTGGCCGACGGGAAAGTGGACCCTCCAGCTGCAGTCAAGTATGGCCTGCTGGAAACCCAGGGAACAAGAATGGCATCTCTGCAGAGCCCTGCCCAAAACACAGATTTATGAGCAACTGAAATGTGTGTCGCTGATGTTGCTATTTTAAGCCACTAAGTTTTGGGATGGTTTGCTATGCAATGGTAGATGATCAGAACAAGGACCAGTGCTGCTTCCACTCTACTGCTCTGGTGCTCAGTGGTTCTTTCTGGGACACCCTGGCCACTCACCAGTCTCAGTGGTCTGAGAAGTTGGAAAGACTGTGCATTATCTGTGAGCACTGTTGGACTGGATGACTTTAGCAAAAGTTACCAAATCCCTGGGGCCTGGGGGCAAGGTACAGAGGTTTCTGAGGCTCATTCCAGCCATGTATTCAATTAGAATCCCTAGGAGTGAGACCCAGACACTTCTATTTTTTAAAGCTTCCCAGGTGATTCTGATACTCAGGCAGCTTTGGAAACCACTGATCATGAGTCATTTGCAAATGGAAGAAATGTCCCTGTATCACCTACATTCACAGATTATCCTAAACTAGACATTACTGGAATTTTCCCATTTATGTTAAGATCCTGGGCAGGATGAGTTATATCTACTCCCTGGTTAAGTCAACCCTGGGACTTCCAAGCCCTCAACATACTTACCCTACATTTAACTTGGTGTTAACTTGGGATCTTCAGTCTAGATGTCTGTGATGCTCCTGGGCTCCAAGCTAATATGTATAAATGAAAGGAATGTACCCCTTAGTTATTAGTGTTTTTTTGTCAAATATTTGTGGGCCTTGCCTCTTCTCAGCATGTAATAGGATTGCATTTCCTGAACCCCTGTGATTGAGTGGAACCATATAAATAATTAACTCTAGCCAATGAACAGAAGTGATGTGTATCACATCTGGGCCAGAACATTTTATGACAAGTGCAAGACCCTCCAGAATTCTTTTTCCATCTGCATCATAAATGACTATGTTCCCAATGGTGGTTCTATTAACATGCACTTCTGAATGACAATAATGTACAAGACCTCCTTGCTGACCTACAATAGACATATAATATAAGTGAGAAAGGAATTTCTTTTGTTTTAAGTCATTGAAATATGGAGAATGTTTGCTATTGTAGCAAAAACTAGCCTAGCCTGACTGATAGAGCCAGAGATGGTAGGCTTATCATTCAGAAGCCTCCTCTCTCTATGTGTCTACTGGGAAGGAGCATGTTCCATACCAGTTTGAATGTGTAGGTTTTTCCATTTTAAATATTTATTAATCCCAAAGTTCTATTCCCATTTTTGCATGAATGAATACTTTTCCCCCTGGTCAACTTATCAGGAATCTGTCAGTATTCTTAGAATAGCCAGTAAGTGTTGCGTTCGCAACAAGATGTTATCAATTGAAAGGTAATGGCTTTGTTTGTTCATCACATGGGACTCTGATAACTAGGAATGCTGGGGCATAAACTAATAAAGAAAATGTTGCTTAAATGTATAAAATACTTTGTGGAATATTATTTTTTAAAGGGCTATTTTAAAGGGCTATTATATTTTAAAGGGCTTCTGAAAAGCGAGTGGTGTGAGATAATCTGTCAGTGAAAAAAGTGTGGATTTCCTACATGAAGCAAAGGTGTGCTCTACAGTACGACTTTATATTCAGAGGTCAATTCCCCCCTGCTCTGAAGCAGAGAATTTGAGAGCCCGGTATTCAAAGGGAGGAAGTGCAGCATCGTCTCCTGTAGCACATGGTGCTTCATCTGTGCAGCTGTGACTTGTCCTTGATGGCACCTCTTTCCCTTAGGAGGAGAACACAGCCTGAGTGACTGCTTTCTTTCATCTTTGCAAAAATAGTCACCAATGCTTTGAGGTATCCTGGGTAGTAGGATTTGTCACTTTACAAAAAACTAAGTATTTCCCTACTTGATCTATATTTGAATTTGGTTTCTGAATTTGGAAGCTTTAACATTTTAATCAAGTAATATGTGTTTATGATCTGTTAATAAATATTCAATATGCAAATGATACTACAATTGTTTTTGCCACCTTCCATTTTCCATTCTCCTCCCCATGGTGGATTGCTGTTACTAATTATATGTGTGTAATTTTTGTATACAAATTTACGTGCATGTATGTACCTATAAAATTATAGTATTTTTATTTTGATTTTTTTACATATGTAGAATTTATTGTATGTATTGTTTGAAAATTGTTTTCTTCACTTAATAACATACCTTAGAAAGTTTTCCCTATCAGTATACAGAAATCTCATTTCTATATATGGATGTTTTCTATAATATGGGTATACCATAGTTTACTTAACAATTTCCCCATTTAAAGACCTTAATATGGTTTCCAATATTTTTATTATAAGTATTGTGGCCACAAATATCTTTGTTTTTATGACTTTGTGCATATATATGAATGTTTCCCTAGACTTGATATACAAAAATGGAATGGCTTTCTCAAAGGATCTGGAACTTTCATTTTAATAGATACTCTTCAGTCTCCCTTAAAGTGGCAGGGTCATTACATAAGAGCAGCCATCTCACCCTATTTTTGCTATCATTTTAGATGAAGACATTTTATCTCAAAGGCAAAAATGTATTTTATGTTAATTTGCATCTCTAATTAATAGTGAGATAAAAGTATTTTTATATTTTTATTTCCATAAATTGCTTCTTTGGAATATTTTCTCATTTTCTTATTGGATTGTTGTATCTTTCCTGCTGATTCATTGGAGTTCTTTATATATTCTGCATACTCTTCCTTTTTCTTTCATAGTCATTGCAAATTATTTTCTGAATATTTTCTCAGAAAATTATTTTCTCTTTTAACTCGGTGGTTTTTTGGTTGCCTCATTACATGTGTTTTTCATTAGTCAAGTTCTTCTATTCCTTGAGTTTGGTGTCTTTTTAATGGTGTTAGCTTTCCTCAGAGGTTTAATGATTTGTGATTGTGAGCAATCCTCTGTAGTTGTTTTTCCTTGTTAACTGCTGTGCATGCATTAACTGCTTGCAAGCCTGCCTAGGATAGGATGAGAGGTAGGAGAGAGAGGTGATGTATGCTGCTGTGCAGGACTGTCTCATGTGCATAATGCGAGCCTAGAGGAGTAAACTACTCCCAGGAGTGTTACCTTGATAGTCAGACACTTAGGCAGGACAGCTTCTCTTTCTTGCAAGGGTTTTGAGTTGTCCAAGGTAAAAGGCTGCTTCTCTGTTCAGGTATATGTGCTTGCTGCTCATCTCAAAGCACAGACAGTTCTGTTGTTTGCTGCTTGAATCAAGAGGACCGATCCAAGTAGGGGAAATGGATGGGAGGATGGAAAGAAGGAAGGAGGGGAAGGATTCCACATACCTGGTGGCTCTTCCTAGGAAGCTTAGATAATAACCCTGTCAGGGGTGCAGGGCCTCCTTTTCTGCCCTCCTGGTGAGCTCTGCCCTGTCTTTGCCTCCCCTTTGGTAGCTGCCCTCTCCTGAGTACCTTTAGGTTTGTTTTTCTTCTTTGATCCAATCCCATTTGTATTCTGTTTTCATGATTTTTTCCCCTGATTTCTGGTCCACTGAGAGTATATCTTCTTGTTTTCCAGAGTGGATTATCCTTTCTAAGAATCTGGAGTAAAACAGGTTGTCATGTGAGGTCTGTCAGCTACCTCAAGTCCAAAGCTCAGATGTCATCCTACCTGATTTATGTCTTTTTCAGTCAGATATTTCTGAAATATTAAATGCTTCTCTAGAGCAAGAGAGAACAGAAGAAGACTGGAGGGTTTGCCTCATTCATGTAAATATTCTCATCTAGCCATAGTTGTTCTAGACTATTTGCATAAGCTAAAGAGGGTAAGTAAAAGGAAGAAACCCAGACAGTGTAAAAAAAAAATCTATCTTCAAATTTGTCTCTGAGACACTATTGTCTGCTAGAATTTCCCCAAAGGCCCTATCCTGACTTATGAGCTGCATGTATCAATTATCTTTGAAGGTAATTTACATATTCATATCCTAGTCAGTTTTCAAGTTGTAACATATCTATAGCCCTCACTAATAATTCTTCTGGGAACAAAAACCATCCTCTAACAAACTTGGCTGTGCGAAGTGGAAACTAACAGACCATAAATCTCACAGAGCAGCCTTGGCTTGTGGCTTGTGGCTGCAGGCAATATTTTTGTAAGTTGCTCATACCCATAACAGACATGTGCCCTTGCAACTTCTCCTTGACTAGGCCTTGCTGCAGATGCACAGGGCAAAGCCACCACATGGACCATGGGCCTTTCTCTCTCCCTCACTTTCAGGGACCCAGGCTCTCTGTTACCTCATCTTGCCTGTGTGAACAGGGAAGGATCAAAAAGCTCAACTCTCTCTCCCCGTGAGTTTCAGCCAATGTGTTATATGTTCTGGGGTGACAACTACTAGATTTTGTCCCTACCAGTTTATACAATTCCATGGAAAAATTTAGTTCACATGTCATAGATGGGCTCCTAAAATGAAAAGTAGAACTGGCATCTACATTTACATTAACAGAGAAAGTGCGTGACCCCAGCTTCTATTAATCTTCTATCAGGAAATTTTCTCCTGTGAATGTTTGTACCAGTTTTTTAATGTGATAAGAAAAAGTGAGAAAGTCTGAATTTTCTTTCCATACCTTGAAAAATACTTGAATAAGTTGGAGCAGAGGATAAAAGTTAATTTCATTTAATGTAGTCAGAAGAGATTTACTGAACTTTGTTCTCAGATCAAGAATTTTGGGAAATGAATGTACCCCAAGAGATCGCATTTATCAGGATCTCAATGGCTCAGAGAATTTTATATCCTAGGTGAAATGATAAGACATTTGAGCATATTAATCTTGAAAATGCAGTGGGAGGAAAAGTTGAGATTACTTTTAATTTTTTGAAGGAAATGAAAGCATTCAGATTCAAACTGGAGATATTTTCCTTTATCAAACTGTCCTAAGTTCAGGAGAAATACAGATTGTGGAAATTATAGATAGTTGATGGAAATTAATTCACAGTATTAAGAGAGAGTCCGAGACTTTTTTTTCTAGTGCATATGAATCATTCTTAAGTTTCTATAGCTGCTCTTGTAATGGAAACATCAGGATATTCAGAACTGCCAAACCTTAGTCTGACTGTTTGGGTTAAAAGTGTATTATATCCACTGGGAAGAAGTCATAATGCTGAAGTTATGGAGACAGCGATACGCTTACTAGTGTAAACTATGAACATAGTTTCCATAGCTTTGATAACAACTTAGCCTGTTGATACCAGTTCTATAACTAACAGGGACAAAATTGAACTGAGACTAGCAACCAGCCTGTAAATGTTTTATGGAAGCAAGGTTTATTAAAATGTTTTGTTTTGCTTTGGTATTGGAGTTAAAAAGCCCATATGTCTGGCTAACAAATAGATGATCAGTACAGCATACACAGGGTTCATACATATACATGGCTTATCCCTGGAAAAACAAAATGCCCAACTGGAAAAACAAAATGCCTTTGGAGGGTTTCTGACTCATAGCTCTTCTCTGCCACAGTTTCAGGATTCCTAATACCAGAAGATGGTTGTGCAAGATGGGTGCAGGTGCTGTTATCACTTGGCCCGATGCTTTTTCCTGCATATAAATGGGATGAAACTCTCTTTCATCTTTGTGCATGAGGTTCTGTTTTCATCAGTGTTCAGTAAGGAACCCTCATGGTGAGGAATGACTAGCTCATCCAAGCAAAGATTTTCCATGATACAACGCGATCCTGTATACTTTGTGTTCGGTGTTTTGCCTGTGGTACTTCAGCTCCCTCACTTGGATTTTTCTGCACTATATTTGGCAGTATATGAAGCATTTTTGGTAATGAAACGTAAATCTTTATTCTGGATAAATGCCATCCATAAATGTGTTTTTCAGCTTAGATTATTGCCACTCTTATTTTATCAACATTTATCTGCACTAAGATGTAATTTTGTGCTTTTTTTGTCCAGGATCTGTGACAGATTCTCATCCCTTCCCCTCTGGCTTTGTTTTCCATCTTTATATACAGGACACGCATCTCTGGTTGAGGTATCTTTGGCACACACTTCTGTCTTGCTGGTCCTCCCGCCTCTAAACCATTTGTGACTGCTTAGAATCATGTAAACAGTTTTTTTTTCCAGCTCTAATGGATTAAGCCATATTTCATGTTCTTAAAAGATGATCCTATAGGTTATTTTATGCTGTGCAATCTTCAGACTCTCATATTCAGTCCTTTAACATTCTATAGTCAGGCAAATCTTGGGTGAGAGAGAAAAGAGGTTGACTTTTAAACTTTACATAATGAAACTAGCTCAAATCTTTTTATGAATTTTTTTTATTATGAAAGTAATATAATACCTATGAAAGAAAACTAGAAAATAGAGGAAAAGAAGAGCCTCATATCCAAAGAAAATGTGTATCCATTTTGAGTGACATTTTTCTGTTCTCTTAAATTGCATAGTCATTAGAGCTACAACTCAGATTTGTAAGCATTTTTTAAATTTCATATCACATCATAAACATTTCCTCAAGTTAAAACCAACTTCATAAACCTTTGTAATGGCTTCAAGACACTTAATCGTACACAGTTACCATAATTAACAACTCCTATATTAGTGAACATTCTGTTTCCATGTTTTCACAAGTATACACAATGATATAATCAACATCTCGGTGCATATGGCTTTTTACAGTCCTATTTTCCCAGGCTGGTAGTTTGCTGCCTGGAACTAGACTGAAAACTCCAGAAATCTTCTCCAACATAAAGTTCAAATATTTAATGGACAAAAACACGGAAATCTAAATAAGCCTCTTATATAACCACAGTTTATATTTAACAAAACTAAGAAATTAACATAGGTGCCAGACCTTGATGTGGTTGTATAGACTTTCTCCAGATTTCCCAGTTTTTTACCTATGTCTTTTTTCTGTCCTAAGAGGCAATCCTACTGCTTTTAGAATTCAACATTTAGAACATGGTGATAGTGTAGTCAGAAAAGGAGCTGACTTGGGTGTTTTCTGGGTCCTCACCTAGGTGACAATGTCTTTTTCTTACTCTGACTCATAAATTCACAATTACCCCCATTTTCCTCCTTTAAATATTTAAATATAATAATCATGCTCCTTATACATTTCTTTTTCTTATGTCTTATCATTCTGATCTGAGTTTTTTTTCTATG